TCGACTCAGCCTTAATTGAGCGCCTCGTGCGGGGTGTAAACATCAGCATTGGGGAAACAAAGGCGGCCGGGCGTGGTCCTAGCCACTCACCCCCTCGTGCCAGGCTTTGGAGGTGCTGCTCGCTCGCCGCACTCGCCCCAACAGTCTGTTCGAGGCTCCACGGGGGATCTTTCGTTCGTTCTCTGTCGGTGCTGCAGGTGCAATGTGAAGCCCTGTGCCGGCCTCACCGCCACTGGTGGGAGTTGGAGCGTGCGTGTTTTCTGTGTGCTTGCGTGTGTGTGCGCGCGTGTTTAGGGTGTGTGTACGTCGTGTTTTTCACGCTTGTCTGTGTTATTGATGCCGTGTGTGATGTGTTGGGGTGTTTTTGGAGCTTGTTCGTGCGTGCTTGTGCGTGACATGTTTTTATTTCTGTGTTTGGAGTATTTTCAGCTCGCGGTCTTGATAGTTGCGGTTATGGTTAGGAGTGGATTTTGTCGAACTCTGAGAACTTAAGAGGCCAAGATGAATGTGGGTGAGTGAGTGAGCGTGTGGAGCGGTTGTGTAGCGGTTAGCGCTACGCTGCGCTACGAACTTGGCGACCCGGGTTCGATTCCCGATCACGGCCAACACCAGTGATGATTATCTGAACTGGTCCTGGGCCTCCCCTAGGTCGACTCGGCCAAAAATGAATACCCGGTGCAGTGTGTAAACATCGCCACTGGGGAGACAAAGGCGGCCGGGCGTGGTGTTGGCCACCCACCCCCTCGTGTGCCGTGCCGGCCTTCACAGGTGCTCGCTAACAGCACTTTCCCCAACAGTCTGTTAAGGCTACACGGGGGATGTTTTTGATGGGTGCGAGTGGGTTAATGATTGAGTGAGTTTGAGTTGATTTTGTCTAACCAGGTGGGAACTCTCATTTCCAAAAGTCACCTGGCTCCTCCACCACAGTGACAGAAGCAAACTCAAGCAAAAACAAGCACTAGCAAGAAGCAGATAAATCCCTGTGTACGTGTGGGTTGCACGCATGTGTGAGAAAGCTGCGGGACGTCCGCGCAGCCCATGGGCTTGTAATCACTAACACGGCGTTTTCACATCGGCACATCCACACAACATCATGGGCGCATGCCGGTTCCAAGCAAGAACATCTGCTGGACTATAAAGTGACGGAACAGCGATTTCGGGCCCATGTTCTTGACACCAGGACCTACCGTAGAGCTCGTCTGCCCACCGACCATTGGCTTGACATTTGTAAGATGCGCATCACATTTAGTTCGAGAGGCTTTTAATGACTGTACAGGAGGAATTTCCATCTGGTACAGATACAACGGGAGGCTGATTGATGCCCGGGTGCGGTCGAGGGATGGCTCCCTACTGGTCAAACATTTATGTTCATGATCTGGTAATTGCTGCTCATGCTGAGAAGGAATTGGAGAAGCTGCTGCTGAATCTGGAGTGTGCTTCTAAGAGGTGGGGGCTTCACCATTAACCCCCCAAAAACAAAGCACCTGCCTGGGTATTTCATGTCATCCAATGCTCCTTTCCCTGCACTCCCCATGAGCGATGGGGCAGCAGTTGTGTTTAAAGTGTACGTTCCGGGCTTTGTGCTTATGACCAGCTCCGGTTTGGCAGCGGAAGTCTCACTCCAAATCAGTCGCGTCGCATCTTTTCATCAGCTGCGTAATGCTGTTTGGAATCTACCTGGTCTTTTGCTCCATACAAAGCTCTGGGTCGTCTTGGCTACAGTCATGCTCTCCCTGCTCTATGCTTCCAAAACGTGGAGCCCTCTAAAGTAACCTCTGCACCACTGAAACATTTGAGCAGGGCCTGCCTACGATCCATCCTGGCTTTAACCAGACTAGATTGTGTGAGAAGCTAACAGAGCTCTTCTGGCAGGTGAAGCTACTTTTGCGGGGTCATGTATCCTACATGCCCAGCCATAAAATGCCCAAGCAGCTTCTGTTTGGTTGGATAGAGGGGGCTAAACGGGTGTGGCACAGGTTATTGAAGACACGGGCTGATGTACAGGAGGATGTGGTGCCGAGTGGCCTTACCGATGACTGGTACCAGCAGTGTCAGGATCAACCTCTGGAGGAGGTTAGTGAAGGATGCTGCTGAGCAGTTGGAGGGAGTCGCCCTCCAAAAACAGCAGAGAGCAGAGGAGCGATGCTCACAACAATGAGCGGGGCGGCAGGTGGCTAAAGCACAGCAAGTCAACAGTGGGGGGAGCACAGGTGGTGCATCTACTCGTCATCTCAGTCAGCCCATGGTCACCTGGGTTTGTCCCGTGACCTGTCAATGAGCCTTCCACACGTGGCCTTCGGAGTGCACCTCGCCTGGCACAAGTGCTGTGGTGACGTCACAGCCACTTGGTGGGAAACGGCGGTTGTTTTTGTTGTTGGCAATGCGTTTACGTTTGTGGTGGGTGTACGTCGTCCTTGTTGTTGTGTTTTAATGTTGTAGTCTGTTTTGTTTGTATGTATGTCATTAGTGTCGCCCGTGGCAGTCTGGGTAGAGCCAGCTGCTGCTGCTGCAATGGGAAGTGTTGGGATTCCAGGTGAAGTCTGCGGGATTTTGTGCCAGGGGAAATGGGTATTTCCGCAATGACTTCTTCTGAGGCGTGGTGCGTGTGCGCCTACGGGGTGGTTCACGCTCGGACCTGCTAAATATCGCAAATCCACGCCGGGGTCGGTGGTCGTGTGATGTGCCGGTAATACTGCAGGAGATGCTATTTTAGCGGGGTTACGGTCGTGGGCTTGGTTTGGCTGTAACGGGTTGGGATGACATGGTGCGCTGCTGTGGGCGCTGTGCAGGGATTATGGGGTTGGGCAGGGGGGTGTGTGACTGGGCCCCTCTGCCTTTGTGAGATAACGGTATTGGTGTTGGTTAACTGCGTGTAGGAGCTGTGTATAGCTGTGATTGCTTGTGTGTGTGTAGCTGTGATTGTGTGTGTGCGTAGGCGGGGAAGCGGTAGTGTGTAGTGGTTCGCGCGCTGTGCTACGGACCCGGTGACCGAGTTCTATGCCCGCTCATGGCCAACACCGGTAACACATCTGAACCGGTCCTGGGCCTGTCCTAGGTCGACTCGGCCTCAAATGAGTACCTGGTGCGATGTGTAAACATCGCCAATGGGGAGACAAAGGTGGTTGGGCCAAGTGCTGGCCACCAACCCACCTGTCTGCCGTTACGGCCTTTATAGGTACTCGCTAACAGCACTTGTCTACAGTCTCTTCAGGCTACACGGGGGGTGGGATCTTTGTCTTGTGTGCGTAGTAAGCCGTGTCCGTGATTGTTCGTGTGGATGCGTGTGCCTGTGTTGTAACTACATGCCCGCAAGCGTGCGTAAGCAATGGGAGGCTGCGTCAACTTGTCTGGTTGTGATGAGCCAGTGTGTGCGTGTAAGTACACGTGTCTTGTGTGTGCGCGTAAGTACACGTGTCGTGTGTGTGTGTGTGCGCGTAAGTACACGTGTCGTGTGTGTGTGTGCGCGTAAGTACACGTGTCGTGTGTGTGTGTGCGCGTAAGTACACGTGTCTTGTGTGTGCGCGTAAGTGCACGTGTCGTGTGTGTGTGCGAGCAAGTACACGTGTCTTGTGTGTGTGCGAGCAAGTACACGTGTCTTGTGTGTGTGCGAGCGTGGTGGTGTTTTTGTGTGTGTGGTGTGCACCTTTGTGTCCGTGCGTGTAACGGTTAGTGAACGCGCTATGAACCCAGTGACCCGAATTTGATTCCTACTTACAGCAAATAACAGTGACGAATATCTGAACCGGTCCTGCCCCTCCCCCCCTAGGTGTACTCAGCCTTAAATGAGTACTTGGTGTTGATGTGTAGACAACAGCGTTGGGAGACAACGGCAGTCGTTCATGGCGCTGGCCACTACTGGCCCCCCTTGTGTACCATACCGGCTTTCACAAAGTGCCCGCAAACAGCACTTGCCCCAACGGCTATACGGGGGAGCTTTGTCTCTGTACAAGCGAGCATCAAATCAGTCCACACACCACGGTGAGACTGTGTGTGTGTGTGTGGTGCCCGCCTGTGCCCACGCGCCTGTACGCTCGGGGGAGGGGGGCCGCACCGGAGAGATGGATCAGCCGGCGCTGCCACTGCTGTTGCTGCCGCACCACTCGGGTCTCCAGGCCTGCGTTCCGCTCATTCCAGTAGCGCGGGCCCTGCTCTCGCCTGCTTTTAATTTCTACTGCGGAATTTCAGATATTTTTTTTTCTCTCTCTCTTTTACATTTTTTTTCTTATTTCCAATTGTAGCTGTTTGAGGTCATAGAAGAATGTAAGGGGTTGCATTCCGCTCCGTGGTACGGAGCCCCGCAAACATCCACACGTGTGCCGCGGGTCACATGACCACGCACCGCAGTAAACACGGCCGCCGCCCCCCTCCGCCCTCCTCGCCCCTCTCCACCCCCCCAATTTCTCTCCCCTCCCTCCTCCCCCACTCATCGCTCACCCCTCCTCGACCCCCAGAATCGATTTCGCAGACAGCAGCTACCTGCTTTGGTAGCTGTCGCAGCAGTGATGTCTCGCGAGTGTGCGCGTGCGTGCGTCTGTGTGGTTATAGTCGGTGGTAATGTCTAGCACCGCTGCTACAAATCCTCGTTCAATTCCCACACACGGCCAACATAGATGACGAATATCTGAACTGGTCCTGGACCTCTCCCCCTCGGTTCGACTTGGCCTTTAATGAGTACTTAGAGCGTTGTTTAATTTTCTGCACTGGGGAGACAAAGGCGGCTGGGCGCAGTGCTGGCCACCCACCCCCTCGTGCCGACCTCCATAGGTTCCACTCGCCAACAGCACTTGCTCCAACAGCCTGTGTTGATTATATGGGGAATCTTTGTTTGTGTTGTGATTTACAGAGAAATGTTAATTTGTACCTTCACTCTATGTACGTCTCGTGTGACGCACGTGTACACACACACACACACGTGACCTTGGAGTCACTCTTACAATCACGTGTGGTGGTTAAAGAGAGGCTACGTGGGGGCTCTTTGTCTTTGTGTGTGCGTGGCGCAGGAGTCCACCAAGAAGGGGGAGGCCAAGCCGGTAGCCACGCCGGGTTCCAAGACCCCCAAGTCGCCCAAGTCCCCTAAAGGTCCCATCTCCCTGGAGGAAGTGAAGACCAAACTGAAGGAGCAGATAGAAAAGGTCAGGGGTCGCGCCTGGGTTGCCCACGGCACAGTTCGGGGTCGGAGGGGGCGCGTCTGGGTCGAAGTTGGGGGTGAGGGGGCTCCTCGCTGGAGGTGGTGGGGGGGGGGCTACCCATGTAAGTGTCTCCCCTGTCCCCGGATTTGACGGTGTGGTTTCGTGTCATGCAGAACATGGGCATGCCCAAGACGGAGGAGAAGTTTGGGAACTTTTTGAAGAGCTCCTTCAAGGTGGAGGACACCAAGGTGAGGGGGCCGCACTGCCGCTCAGCGGTTCGAATCCAGCTGCCACCCCGGTTAATACCGCCCGGTGAACGACCGTGACGCGAATAATAACCGGTTGTCTTGCTCGCCCAGCGTCGTCGTAAACATAGCCGTCATCCCTCCCTTGCCGCATAGAATCTCGACACGTGAAGGGCACCCCCGGTGGCAGCTGTCCCTGTGCAGCACAAGGCGTATCTCGGCACTTGGCCTGTAATTGGGCATTGATCTGGTGCCAGCAGGGAGCGATGGTTGATGCCGTGTGTGCGATCCCATTTCGGCAACATTTGCGTTGTAAGTTTCACATCTTTTTTTTTAAATCTGGACCGTGACGCAGACAAGCGGCGGCCTACTGTGGCATCCAACGCGAATGAGGCCACCCAGTGTTAACCAGGGTGGCCTGCCGGAATCGAACTGCGAACTTCCGCAACAAGCGGCGGATGCACCACCGCTGGGCTATGTCACGGCCCCATACACCTCGTACACCTGTCGTACACACCTGCCACACACCTGTCGTACACCTGTCGTACACCTGTCGTACACCTGTCGTACACACCTGCCACACACCTGTCGTACACCTGTCTTACACACCTGCCACACACCTGTCTTCGCACATGCATGCCTCCCATCACAAGCACGGGCAGTACCACCTATGCAGTTGCTCACAACCGTACACCCCTACTCGCATGCACACCTACAGTCACTCCAGTGAACCCACGTTTATTTTTATTGTGCCTTTTAGCCAGGGGAGCCTTGCTGAGTCTCAAGACTCTCCTTCAGGAGGATCCTGCCAGGTTTTTGCAGTAGAGGGCGATCCCGATTGAGTGATTAGTAGGGAATATTTTAGCATTGCAGTGGTTTTACCAATCCCGGTTACGCAGTGTGGGTGTGTTCGCAATGGGGGGAAACGGGGAATCCATTGTGGGGAACCCATTGTGGGGAACCCATTGTGGGGAACCCATTGTGGGGAACCCATTGTGGGGAACCCATTGTGGGGGACCCATTGTGGGGAACCCATTGTGGGGAACCCATTGTGGGGAACCCATTGTGGGGAGCCCATTGTGGGGAGCCCATTGTGGGGAGCCCATTGTGGGGAGCCCATTGTGGGGAACCCATTGTGGGGAACCCATTGTGGGGAACCCACGCAGAACGGGGAGAACACTCAAACTCCACACAGCACAGGGGGAGAACACTCAAACTCCACACAGTGTAAAGTGAGAACACTCAAACTCCACGCAGTGTAAAGAGAGAACACTCAAACTCCACACAGTGTAAAGTGAGAACACACAAACTCCACGCAGAGCAGGGGGAGAACACTCAAACTCCACACAGTGTAAAGTGAGAACACTCAAACTCCACGCAGAGCAGGGGGAGAACACTCAAACTCCACGCAGAACAGGAGAGAACACTCAAACTCCACGCAGTGTAAAGAGAGAACACACAAACTCCACGCAGAATAAAGTGAGAACACTCAAACTCCACGCAGAACGGGGAGAACACTCAAACTCCATGCAGCACAGGGGGAGAACACTCAAACTCCACGCAGAATAAAGTGAGAACACACAAACTCCACGCAGTGTAAAGTGAGAACACACAAACTCCACGCAGTGTAAAGTGAGAACACACAAACTCCACACAGTGTAAAGTGAGAACACTCAAACTCCACGCAGAACAGGGGGAGAACACGCAAACTCCACGCAGCACAGGGGGAGAACACTCAAACTCCACGCAGAACGGGGAGAACACTCAAACTCCACGCAGAATAAAGTGAGAACACACAAACTCCACGCAGTGTAAAGTGAGAACACACAAACTCCACACAGTGTAAAGTGAGAACACTCAAACTCCACGCAGAACAGGGGGAGAACACGCAAACTCCACGCAGCACAGGGGGAGAACACTCAAACTCCACGCAGAACGGGGAGAACACTCAAACTCCACGCAGCACAGGGGGAGAACACTCAAACTCCATGCAGAGCAGGGGGAGAACACTCAAACTCCACGCAGCACAGGGGGAGAACACACAAACTCCACGCAGAGCAGGGAGAGAACACGCAAACTCCACGCAGTATGAAGTGAGAACACACAAACTCCACGCAGTGTAAAGCGAGAACACACAAACTCCACGCAGTGTAAAGTGAGAACACACAAACTCCACACAGTGTAAAGTGAGAACACACAAACTCCACGCAGTGTAAAGTGAGAACACACAAACTCCACACAGTGTAAAGAGAGAACACACAAACTCCACGCAGAATAAAGCTAGAACACACACTCCACGCAGTGTAAAGCGAGAACACACTAACTCCACACAGTGTAAAGAGGGAACACACAAACTCCACGCAGAATAAAGATAGAACACACAAACTCCACGCAGTGTAAAGAGAGAACACACAAACTCCACCTAGTATAAAGAGAGAACACACAAACTCCACACAGTGTAAAGAGAGAACACACAAACTCCACACAGTGTAAAGTGAGAACACACAAACTCCACGCAGTGTAAAGTGAGAACACACAAACTCCACACAGTGTAAAGAGAGAACACACAAACTCCACACAGTGTAAAGTGAGAACACACAAACTCCACGCAGTGTAAAGTGAGAACACACAAACTACACGCAGTGTAAAGTGACAATACACAAACTCCACGCAGAATAAAGAGAGAACACACAAACTCCACCTAGTATAAAGAGAGAACACACAAACTCCACACAGTGTAAAGAGAGAACACACAAACTCCACACAGTGTAAAGTGAGAATACACAAACTCCACGCAGTGTAAAGTGAGAACACAAACTCCACACAGTGTAAAGTGAGAACACACAAACTCCACGCAGTGTAAAGAGAGAACACACAAACTTCACACAGTGTAAAGTGAGAACACACAAACTCCACGCAGAATAAAGAGAGAACACACAAACTCCACACAGTGTAAAGTGAGAACACACAAACTCCACGCAGTGTAAAGTGAGAACACACAAACTCCACACAGTGTAAAGAGAGAACACACAAACTCCACACAGTGTAAAGAGAGAACACACAAACTCCACACAGTGTAAAGAGAGAACACACAAACTCCACGCAGTGTAAAGAGATAACGCACAAACTCCACACAGTGTAAAGAGAGAACACACAAACTCCACGCAGTGTAAAGAGAGAACACACAAACTCCACGCAGTGTAAAGAGAGAACACACAAACTCCACGCAGTGTAAAGTGAGAACACACAAACTCCACGCAGTGTAAAGTGAGAACACACAAACTCCACACAGTGTAAAGAGAGAACACACAAACTCCACGCAGAATAAAGAGAGAACACACAAACTCCACACAGTGTAAAGAGAACACACAAACTCCACGCAGTGTAAAGTGAGAATACACAAACTCCACGCAGTGTAAAGTGAGAACACATAAACTCCACGCAGAATAAAGAGAGAACACACAAACTCCACCTAGTATAAAGAGAGAACACACAAACTCCACACAGTGTAAAGAGAGAACACACAAACTCCACACAGTGTAAAGTGAGAACACACAAACTCCACGCAGTGTAAAGTGAGAACACACAAACTCCACACAGTGTAAAGTGAGAACACACAAACTCCACACAGTGTAAAGTGAGAACACACAAACTCCACGCAGTGTAAAGAGAGAACACACAAACTCCACACAGTGTAAAGAGAGAACACACAAACTCCACACAGTGTAAAGTGAGAACACACAAACTCCACACAGTGTAAAGTGAGAACACACAAACTCCACACAGTGTAAAGAGAGAACACACAAACTCCACACAGTGTAAAGAGAGAACACACAAACTCCACGCAGTGTAAAGTGAGAACACACAAACTCCACGCAGTGTAAAGTGAGAACACACAAACTCCACGCAGAATAAAGAGAGAACACACAAACTCCACGCAGAATAAAGAGAGAACACACAAACTCCACGCAGAATAAAGAGAGAACACACACACTCCACGCAGAATAAAGAGAGAACACACAAACTCCACGCAGTGTAAAGAGAGAACACACAAACTCCACACAGTGTAAAGTGAGAACACACAAACTCCACACAGGGTAAAGTGAGAACACACAAACTCCACGCAGTGTAAAGCGAGAACACGCAAACTCCACGCAGAATAAAGAGAGAACACACAAACTCCACGCAGTGTAAAGTGAGAACACACAAACTCCACACAGTGTAAAGTGAGAACACACAAACTCCACGCAGTGTAAAGTGAGAACACACAAACTCCACACAGTGTAAAGAGAGAACACACAAACTCCACGCAGAATAAAGATAGAACACAAACTCCACGCAGTGTAAAGAGAGAACACACAAACTCCACGCAGTGTAAAGAGATAACGCACAAACTCCACACAGTGTAAAGTGAGAACACACAAACTCCACACAGTGTAAAGAGAGAACACACAAACTCCACGCAGTGTAAAGTGAGAACACACAAACTCCACGCAGTGTAAAGAGAGAACACACAAACTCCACGCAGTGTAAAGTGAGAACACACAAACTCCACACAGTGTAAAGTGAGAACACACAAACTCCACGCAGTGTAAAGTGAGAACACACAAACTCCACACAGTGTAAAGTGAGAACACACAAACTCCACGCAGTGTAAAGTGAGAACACACAAACTCCACACAGTGTAAAGAGAGAACACACAAACTCCACACAGTGTAAAGTGAGAACACACAAACTCCACACAGTGTAAAGAGAGAACACACAAACTCCACACAGTGTAAAGAGAGAACACACAAACTCCACGCAGTGTAAAGTGAGAACACACAAACTCCACGCAGTGTAAAGTGAGAACACACAAACTCCACGCAGAATAAAGAGAGAACACACACACTCCACGCAGAATAAAGAGAGAACACACAAACTCCACGCAGTGTAAAGAGAGAACACACAAACTCCACACAGTGTAAAGTGAGAACACACAAACTCCACACAGGGTAAAGTGAGAACACACAAACTCCACACAGTATCAAGTGAGAACACACAAACTCCACGCAGTGTAAAGCGAGAACACGCAAACTCCACGCAGAATAAAGAGAGAACACACAAACTCCACGCAGTGTAAAGTGAGAACACACAAACTCCACACAGTGTAAAGTGAGAACACACAAACTCCACGCAGTGTAAAGTGAGAACACACAAACTCCACACAGTGTAAAGAGAGAACACACAAACTCCACGCAGAATAAAGATAGAACACAAACTCCACGCAGTGTAAAGAGAGAACACACAAACTCCACGCAGTGTAAAGAGATAACGCACAAACTCCACACAGTGTAAAGAGAGAACACACAAACTCCACGCAGTGTAAAGTGAGAACACACAAACTCCACGCAGTGTAAAGAGAGAACACACAAACTCCATGCAGTGTAAAGTGAGAACACACAAACTCCACGCAGTGTAAAGTGAGAACACACAAACTCCACACAGTGTAAAGTGAGAACACACAAACTCCACGCAGAATAAAGAGAGAACACACAAACTCCACGCGGAATAAAGAGAGAACACACAAACTCCACGCAGAATAAAGAGAGAACACACAAACTCCACACAGTGTAAAGTGAGAACACACAAACTTCACGCAGTGTAAAGAGAGAACACACAAACTCCACGCAGTGTAAAGTGAGAACACACAAACTCCATGCAGTGTAAAGTGAGAACACACAAACTCCACGCAGTGTAAAAAGAGAACACACAAACTCCACACAGTGTAAAGAGAGAACACACAAACTCCACGCAGTGTAAAGAGAGAACACACAAACTCCACGCAGTGTAAAGTGAGAACACACAAACTCCACGCAGTGTAAAGTGAGAACACAAACTCCACGAAGTGTAAAGTGAGAACACAAACTCCACGCAGAGCAGGGGGAGAACACAAACTCCACGCAGAGCAGGGGGAGAACACACAAACTCCACGCAGAATAAAGAGAGAACACACAAACTCCACGCAGTGTAAAGAGAGAACACACAAACTCCACGCAGAATAAAGAGAGAACACACAAACTCCACACAGTGTAAAATGAGAACACACAAACTCCACACAGTGTAAAGAGAGAACACACAAACTCCACACAGTGTAAAGAGAGAACACACAAACTCCACACAGTGTAAAGAGAGAACACACAAACTCCACGCAGTGTAAAGTGAGAACACACAAACTCCACGCAGTGTAAAGAGAGAACACACAAACTCCACGCAGTGTAAAGAGAGAACACACAAACTCCACACAGTATAAAGTGAGAACACACAAACTCCACACAGTGTAAAGAGAGAACACACGAACTCCACACAGTGTAAAGTGAGAACACACAAACTCCACGCAGTGTAAAGAGAGAACACACAAACTCCACACAGTGTAAAGTGAGAACACACAAACTCCATGCAGTGTAAAGAGAGAACACACAAACTCCACACAGTGTAAAGAGAGAACACACAAACTCCACACAGTGTAAAGTGAGAACACACAAACTCCACGCAGTGTAAAGAGAGAACACACAAACTCCACACAGTATAAAGTGAGAACACACAAACTCCACACAGTGTAAAGAGAGAACACACAAACTCCACGCAGTGTAAAGTGAGAACACACAAACTCCACGCAGTGTAAAGAGAGAACACACAAACTCCACGCAGTGTAAAGAGAGAACACACAAACTCCACACAGTATAAAGTGAGAACACACAAACTCCACGCAGTGTAAAGAGAGAACACAAACTCCACGCAGAAAAGGGGGCTTGAATCCAGGCCGTTCTGGCCGTGAGGCTCGCGAGCATCGGCACTGCCACGTCCCTCATACCCATGGCCAGGTAGCGCAGAGAAGGCGTCCCGTCTCCTCGTGGGGGGGGGGCGAGCCTGGCGAGTATCTCGAGGTGGGGGGCGCCTGCCTGTGGACGCGTGGGGACGCGGTGGCCCCCCGGGCTGCGGGCAGGGGGCACCACACAGAAGAGATGCCTCGTGCAGAGCCTCGTGAGGCTTTCCTAAATAAATAGCCAAATTATTATTGTTATAACCATGAGCGCAGAAGTGGGTAACAGTTGAACTGTGCAGCAGTGGGTAACAGTTAAACCGTGCAGCGGTGGGTAACAGTTGAACTGTGCAGCGGTGGGTAACAGTTAAACCGTGCAGCGGTGGGTAACAGTTGAACTGTGCAGCGGTGGGTAACAGTTAAACCGTGCAGCGGTGGGTAACAGTTGAACCGTGCAGCGGTGGGTAACAGTTGAACCATGCAGCAGTGGGTAACAGTTAAACCGTGCAGCGGTGGGTAACAGTTAAACCGTGCAGTGGTGGGTAACAGTTTAACCGTGCAGCGGTGGGTAACAGTTTAACCGTGCAGCGGTGGGTAACAGTTGAACCGTGCAGCGGTGGGTAACAGTTTAACCGTGCAGCAGTGGGTAACAGTTGAACCGTGCAGCAGTGGGTAACAGTTTAACCGTGCAGCGGTGGGTAACAGTCGAACCGTGCAGCAGTGGGTAACAGTTGAACCGTGCAGCAGTGGGTAACAGTTGAACCGTGCAGCGGTGGGTAACAGTCGAACCGTGCAGCGGTGGGTAACAGTTGAACCGTGCAGCAGTGGGTAACAGTTGAACCGTGCAGTGGTGGGTAACAGTTGAACCGTGCAGCGGTGGGTAACAGTTGAACCGTGCAGTGGTGGGTAACAGTTGAACCGTGCAGTGGTGGGTAACAGTTGAACCGTGCAGTGGTGGGTAACAGTTGAACCGTGCAGTGGTGGGTAACAGTTGAACCGTGCAGTGGTGGGTAACAGTTGAACCGTGCAGTGGTGGGTAACAGTTGAACCGTGCAGCGGTGGGTAACAGTTAAACCGTGCAGCGGTGGGTAACAGTTAAACCGTGCAGCGGTGGGTAACAGTTAACCTGTGCAGCGGTGGGTAACAGTTGAACTGTGCAGTGGTGGGTAACAGTTGAACTGTGCAGCAGTGGGTAACAGTTGAACCGTGCAGCGGTGGGTAACAGTTAACCTGTGCAGCGGTGGGTAACAGTTGAACTGTGCAGTGGTGGGTAACAGTTGAACTGTGCAGCAGTGGGTAACAGTTGAACCGTGCAGCGGTGGGTAACAGTTGAACCGTGCAGCAGTGGGTAACAGTTAAACCGTGCAGTGGTGGGTAACAGTTGAACCGTGCAGTGGTGGGTAACAGTTGAACCGTGCAGTGGTGGGTAACAGTTGAACCGTGCAGCGGTGGGTAACAGTTAAACCGTGCAGCGGTGGGTAACAGTTGAACCGTGCAGCGCTGGGTAACAGTTAAACCGTGCAGCGGTGGGTAACAGTTGAACCGTGCAGCGGTGGGTAACAGTTAAACCGTGCAGCGGTGGGTAACAGTTGAACCGTGCAGCGCTGGGTAACAGTTAACCTGTGCAGCGCTGGGTAACAGTTGAACTGTGCAGTGGTGGGTAACAGTTGAACTGTGCAGTGGTGGGTAACAGTTAAACCGTGCAGCGGTGGGTAACAGTCGAACCGTGCAGCGGTGGGTAACAGTTGAACCGTGCAGCAGTGGACCAACGCTTGCAGCAGGAGGCGACTGTCTGCTGGTGAAGCAGCGAGCGTTGTCAGCGCTGTGCAGCAGGAAGACTTTATTTCTGCAGTGGGGTGGAGGGTAAGGGGGGGGTGTGGGAGTCGGGGTGGTGCGGCGGTCACCCCCCCCTCCCCTGTGATGTCACATGCGGCGATGTTACATCCCCATGACGTCGCGGGGTGGTGACGTCGCCTCCCCTGGCGCAAGTCCGCCTTTTCCCGAAGCCGTGCTCGCTGGCTCACTCTCACACGCCCCGCGTGTCGTTGTCGTCGCTGTCGCATCCGCGCCCGGAGATTCCATTGTGAGGAGCATGGGAAATCCTGTGTGAGCGCGCGCGTGTATGTGACCGTGCGCGCGTGCTTATGTTAGCACGTGTGTGTGCGCGCGTGCGCGCGTTCGTTTGCGTGTGGGAGAAAGCGTCTGCATGAATGGATGTTAGTGAATGGAGATATACGAGTGTGAGTGCGCTTGTACGCACGCATGCCTTTGCACGTGGGTCATTGTGTTAATGTGTGTGTGAAGGGTTGTGGGTTTAGAGGGTGTGTATGAATGAGTGTCATCGTTGGGTGTGTGTGTGTGCGTGCGTATGAAGGGATGTGCGCATGCCTGTGGAGTAGTAGCACTGCGCTACGAACATAGCGACCAGAGTTCATTTCCCACCCACGGCCAACATCACCGACGAATATTTGAATCGGTCTTGGGGCGTTCACGAGGTCGACTCGGTCTGAACTTAGTACCTGGTGCAGTGTGCAAACATCAGCGGTGGAGAGACAAAGGCAGCAGGGCATGCTTATGGCCACCCCCCCCCCCTCCCCCTTCTGTGCCATTCCGACCTTCAGAGGTGCTCACGAACAGCTCTTGCCCCAAAAGTCTGCGAGGGGTTTACGGGCAGGAGGGACTCTTTCACTTTGATTACAGAGAAGGCCAGTGTCTCGCAGATTCCCTCTTACACAGACGCACACACTCTCAGCCCTGTCTAACACACTGTTGGGGCAAGTGCTGTTTGCGGGCGCCTACGAAGGCCTACGAGGGAGTGCGTGGCCAGCACCACACCCGGCTGCCTTTGTCTTCCCAGTGCCGATATTTATATGTACCGCACCAGGGGTGCTTATTTGAGGCTTGAATCTTGCCTGGGGGCGGCGGTCCCAGAATCGGTTGAGAAATCCGCCACGATCATTGATCACGAACGGTCGGCGAACTCTGCTCGCCGGATTGGCGGTGCAATGCGCTCACCGCTTGGTCTCCCGCGTACACATTGGTGATCATCCTCAGCATTGCCCTGCCACGCCTCACCTGTGCCCCTCCCCCCCCAGGTTATGAAGGAGCTGTGGAGTTGGAGCTTGACGCAGACAAAGTCTTGAGGAGCTCCCGACACCCAACCCGGGGGGTTTCATCACAGTCCGTCCAGCTGGGCCCTGTCCCCTGCCGTCCCCCCCCCCCCCTGCCAGCTCATCATCCCCCCCTTTTAATCGAGGAGACTGCGTTAGACATGACATTGTTTTGTGTGTGTGTATGTTCAGGGTTATTTGACGCGGTTTTAGCATCACACATTTTATTACCTTTTTTTTACTGACGCACGAAGGGTGGCAACGTTAAATGCATTCTGCAGAGGCCCCAAACGATTCGTTAAGTGAAGCTGCGAGAACAGCAGAGGGAGGGAGGCGGCCCGAGTTGATGCCTGGTTGCTGTTTCTTGGGGGGGGGGGGGGGGGGGGATCGTTTTGTGGACCCCAAGGAGGAGCGTCCTCCCCGAGGGACAGCGTTTCTCAACCGGGGGTACGCGAGGAGATTTATAAATGTGTGAAATTGCCAACATCAGTCATTGGTGAATAATGTGTATGAATCTGCCAATATTAAATAACGAGAAATGTTAAATCCATATGGTAACCTAGAGTGATATAGCAGACATTTCTAAACTCGTTGATCGTACGCAACGCGGGGTTCCAAAAGTAACCGGTCAACGCAAACCAATGGCGTCACGCGTGCGGAGCGTCCGTTGAAGTTTTCATTCGCTTGCAGCTAGCTAGTTAGGATACCTCACAAAATGGACGAGCGGTTAAAATATTGACGTTCATTAATTCGTACATTTCTCAGAACCAAGGGATGGGGGCGGGGGGGTACAGTAGTAGCCAAACTAAGGTTGAGAACCACTGCCCTGGGAGGTTCTTGGAGGTCCCCTTGAGGTTCCTGGAGGTCCCCTCGAGGTTCCTGGAGGTGGTCCCCGCTGTGCTCCCTGATTGTGGTGACCCGCGTGCTTGTGGCGTCTGATGAATTTAGCGTGGAGCGTGGCCTTTGTTACCTGTTAACAATAAAAGTGTGTGGATACCATCGCAGCGTCTTCTGATTTATCTCGCACGCGTTGCATCCAACTTGCTGCGGTTTGTTTTGTTTTCCCGCGGCCACGTGACACTCCGTGTTTGTGTGCATGCGTGGGGAGCGGTGGCCTCAGTGGTCAGCGCATCTCGCTACCAACCCGGCCACCCGAGTTCCGTTTCCGCTCACGGAGTCGACATCGGTGACGAAATATCGGAACCGGTCCTTGGCCTCCCCTGGGCCGACTCTGCCTCATCGGTACTGGGGAGACAAAGGCGGCTGTGCGTAGTGTTGTCGGCCGAACACCCACTCGTGTCATGTGCCGGTGACGGCCTTCATCGGTGCTCCTCGCGACCAGCGCTGGCCCCAACGGTGAAGGGCGATGGCGGGTTGGCGTGGTGCGCGACTGCCCGCTCGCCCTTCCCCTCCATGCGTGGTTAATCGGGCGTCTATTTGAGGCTGCCCAGAGTGGTGGGACAAAGAGATAGGGGGGGGGGCGCTGCCCAACACAGGCTGACTATGGAGTCCACCTACCCCCCCCCCCTCGGCATCTGGCCGCGGGCCTCCAGGAACCTCCTGGGCATGGCTCCGTGCATGTCGACTCGGTTACGACGAGAATAGTTGAACACGAACCGGTTAAACTGGTAGCAAAAGTCAGGAAACCGGTAAACGATCCCAGCGGAATCTTAAGTCGTGAATGAATGCAACCGATTTAAGAAATGTGCCTCCCCCCCCCCATTGTTCCAACTGCCGCGCCCGGAGATGGAATCGAACCGGGCGACCCTCTGGGTTGCGGGTCGCGAGCGTGCTGTGTGCGGCGGCTCCCTTCGCTTCTCAACTTAAACAAAAAGTGTCGCGCACACGTCGCGTTGAGCGCTCTCGACGCGTCGGCGTATGCGGCAGAACGATATTAACCCGTTTTATGCGGTTACCGGTTACGCAAGAAACCGGTTTTAATTACCCCCGACTCGCGATCGAGTGATGCAGGGAACAGCAACTCCTGCAGTAAAGACAAAGACACCCCGTGTAGCCCTTCACAGAGCGTTCGGCCAAGTGGTGTTGGGCAGCACGCGGCACCCGAGCGTGTCGGTGGCCATAACCACGCCCGGCCGCCTTTGTCTCTCCCATGCTGATGTGTGTACACACCACACCGGGTCCTCATTTGAGGCTGAGTCGACTTGAAGGAAGCCGAGGACCGGGACGGGTTCTGAGATTTCGTCACTGTTGGCCGTGAGCGGGAATCGGCTTCGGGTTCCCGGGGGCTCGGAGCGCAGTGCGCTAACCGCTGCGACGCCGCTTCCCGCACACAAAGACAAAGATCCCCCGGACAGCCTAAACAGACTCTTGGGGCAAGTGCTGTTAGCGAGCACATATGAAGGCCGTCACGGCACACGAGGGGGTGGGTGGCCAACACCACGCCCGACCGCCTTTGTCTTCCCATTGGCGATATTTGCACACGGCACCCGGTACACCCACGTGTACACACTTGCACACCGGCACGCGCGCGTGCGCCCAGCCACGTGGGTGGGGGTCGCCCCGTGCACGCCCCCAGCCGTGTTTTGCCAATCCACTGCTGGATGAGGGGCCCCCCTACGTCTGGGAGAGGTCACGGTAGTTATTTGACCATACTTCACCACGCTGGTCAGTACGGGATGGTTAAAGCCGGGGTGACTTCCAAGACACGGAAGCACAGAAGTGCAGTACATTAGTGGATTGCCATTGCCCCGCAGCAGCTCTGCTGCAACACCAAGCACTTGAGCAGGCTCAGAGCCTGCTGAGCTTCCGAGATGGGCCACGTTTCAGGTCATTAGGTCATCGGCAGGGGCCGAGAGTTCCAAACATCGACTACAGCTGCATCAGAAATACTGTCAACAGCAAACTCATCACCATCACCACGAATAATAGGTACGGAATCAGAAACATCATCATAACCATACAGACAGCTGTTTTGAGATCAGAATCGGATCTTCAGTGACATTGTTGTATGTTGATATTCACGTTATCAGTATCACGATTTCGTCACGACCAGGATTAAGACTCACGTGTTCATCATTATCATCACGAGTCGGATCTCATTGATTCTGAATCTTAGCAGCATCCTCCATTCGTCAGGATCGCATCAAATCAGAATTGCATCACCGCTACCATGACAACCACCAACATTCATAATCACATCACTACCACCATCACCATCATCACCATCATCATCATCACCATCATCATCACCATCATCACCACCATCATCACCACCACCATCACCACCATCACCACCATCATCATCACCATCACCACCACCATCATCACTACCATCACCATCATCACCATCATCATCACCATCATCACCATCATCACCATCATCACCACCACCATCACCATCATCACCACCATCATCACCACCATCATCACTACCATCATCACCACCACCATCACCATCATCACCACCATCATCACCATCACTACCATCATCACCACTACCATCATCACCACCACCATCATCACCACTACCATCATCACCAACATCATCACCATCACTACCATCATCACCACCATCATCACCATCATCACTACCATCACCACCATCACTACCATCATCACCACCATCATCACCACCATCACCATCACTACCATCATCACCACCATCATCACCACTACCATCATCACCACCATCATCACCACTACCATCATCACCACCACCATCACCATCACTACCATCATCACCACCATCATCACCATCATCACTACCATCACCACCATCACTACCATCATCACCACCATCATCACCACCATCATCACCATCACTACCATCATCACCACCATCATCACCACTACCATCATCACCACCATCATCACCATCACTACCATCATCACCACCATCATCACCATCATCACTACCATCACCACCATCACTACCATCATCACCACCATCATCACCACCATCATCATCACCACCATCATCACCACCATCATCACCACCACCATCATCACCACCATCATCACCACCATCATCACCACCATCGTCATCACCACCATCATCACCACCATCATCACCACCATCGTCATCACCACCATCATCACCACCATCATCACCACCATCATCGTCACCACCATCACCACCACCATCACCACCATCATCACCACCATCACCACCATCACCACCATCACCACCATCATCACTACCATCATCACCACCATCATCACCATCATCACCACCATCATCACCATCATCACCACCATCATCACCACCATCACCACCATCACCACCATCATCACCATCATCATCACCATCACCACCACCATCACCACCACCATCATCACCACCATCATCACCACCACCATCATCACCACCATCGTCATCACCACCATCATCACCACCATCGTCATCACCACCATCATCACCACCATCGTCATCACCATCGTCACCTTCATTCAGGCTCACATCAATCGTTTACGTCATCGCCATCATTCAGAATCAGAGCAGAATGAAAAGATAAATCATGTCAATGAGAAGTACTGCAGTATCACCACCATGATCATCACCGTCACTCAGAATCACATCATCACCACCACTACCATCACCATCAATGTAACATCATCATTACCATCACCATCAATGTAACATCATCACTACCATCACCATCAATGTAACATCATCACTACCATCACCATCAATGTAACATCACTACCACCACGGCCGCCGCCGCCGCCGCCTGGGTGGGTGGAGGAGTCATTCGCCGCGCAGCTGAGCTGGGGGGGAGAGCGAGAGGGAAGAGAGGGGGGGGAAGAGAGATCGAGAGGGGGGCGGAGAGAGAGCGAGAGGGGGAGAGAGGGGGAGAGGGGGGGGAAGAGAGAGCGAGAGGGGGAGAGGGGGGAAGAGAGAGCGAGAGGGGGAAGAGAGAGCGAGAGGGGGAAGAGAGAGCGGGAGGGGAGAGAGAGGGGGGGGGGGGGGGGGCGGGAGAGGGAGGAGGAGTGATGCAGGGGGAGGAGGGAGGAGGAGTGAAGCAGGGAGGAGGAGGAGGAGGGACACATGCACACGCATGTATAAATACACAAATAAAAAAACCCAGACTCGCGTGACAAACCCGGCAGGCAGCAGGAGGGCGCGGGAAGGAGTCGGAGAGGAGATCTGAGACAGTGGATCGGCAGTCGCGACTCGCGGCTGCCCGCGGCAATTGTGTTGCCCTTTGCCCAGCCTTGCCCCCTCACTGCCTCGCACGCCGCCGGCCCCCATCGCGTAGAAGGCAGCCGTGCCCTTCGCGTCGCTTCGTCTCGCCGTCATCCCCAGGGCACCGCCCGGGTGGATTTCCCATTCTCCGTGCTGCTGCAGCTGTCGAGACGCGAGACGAGGGTCTTGACGAGGGGGGGTGGGTGAGTGGACCTCTTACGGATTGCCCCTGCTGCCCTGCTCTACCCTGCTGCTGTTCGCTGCCCTTGCCCTGCCCTCTCGCTGCCCCTGCCCGGCACCTGCCCGACCCGGCCCCGGCTCGGAGCCGCCTCGTCTCGTGTGCCCCGGGGCCACTCGCGCTCCCGGGGTCTCAGCGATGCGCGGCGTTCGGCGTGGAGCGCAGCAGCATCAACAGCATCATCAGCAGCATCAACAGCATCATCTTCAGCAGCAGCAGCATCGGCAAGAACAAGAGGAACAGCAGTGGCGACATCGGGAGCGGCAGCCACAGGAACTGCAAAATCATCATCATAGCCGTCATTATCATCAGCATCAGCAGCAGCATTATCAGCAGGAACAGCAACATTATCAGCAGCAGCAGCAGGAGCTAAACAATCATCGCCAGCATCAACAGCAGCGGCAGCAGCAGCAGACGAAACATCATCATCAGCAGCAGCGGCGGCGGCAGAGCCAGCGTCAATAGCGGTCAGGTTCCCGCCGGCAGAACGCGGGGGTTTGGGAGTCCGCGTGTCTCCACGTGTCCCCACGTGTCTCCGCGTGTCTCCACGTGTCTCTGCGTGTCCCCCTGGCGCCCTGGATCGGAGTTTAACTCATCAGCACGGAACCCGCGCCATGGCGAGGCTCCTGCAGCTGTGAGTCTCGTGCCCACTTACCGGACACCCGGCTTCGCATCAGCAGCAGTGTCAGCATCATCATCATCAGCAGCAGCAGTGTCAGCATCATCATCAGCAGCAGCAGTGTCAGCAGCATCATCAGCAGCAGCTGCACGGTCATCAGTCTAGTCATCATCATCAGCAGCAACAGTATCATCAGCATCATCAGCAGCAGCACGGTCGTCAGTCTAGTCATCAGCAGCAGCATCATCATCAGCATCATCATCAGTATCATCATCATCAGCAGCACGGTCGTCAGTCTAGTCATCAGCAGCAGCAGTGTCATCATCAGCAGCAGCACGGTCGTCAGTCTAATCATCAGCAGCAGCATCAGCATCATCATCAGCAGCAGCACGGTCGTCAGTCTAGTCATCAGCAGCAGCATCATCATCAGCATCATCATCAGCATCATCATCATCAGCAGCACGGTCGTCAGTCTAATCATCAGCAGCAGCATCTCCAGCAGCCATATCAACATCATTTTCATTTCCGTAAGCCGAATTATCATCAGCAGCAGTGTCAGCAGCGTCATCATCATCCACATCCCGAACCACGCCGCTCTGTTCGCTGCCACGGGGGGTTGGGGGTGTGGGGAGTAGGGAGTCGGGGCTCTCACCCTGACCATGACCCTGCGTGTGTGTGTGTCAGTCTGTGTGCGTGTGTATATTAGTGTCTGTGTGTGTGTGTCAGTCTGTGTGAGTGTGTATATTAGTGTCTCTGTGTGTGTCAGTCTGTGTGAGTGTGTATATTAGTGTCTGTGTGTGTGTGTCAGTCTGTGTGAGTGTGTATATTAGTGTCTGTGTGTGTGTGTCAGTCTGTGTGAGTGTGTATATTAGTGTCTGTGTGTGTGTGTCAGTCTGTGTGAGTGTGTATATTAGTGTCTGTGTGTGTGTGTCAGTCTGTGTGAGTGTATATATTAATGTCTCTGTGTGTGTGTCAGTCTGTGTGAGTGTGTATATTAGTGTCTCCTCGTGTGTGTCAGTCTGTGTGAGTGTGTATATTAGTGTCTCTGTGTGTGTGTCAGTCTGTGTGAGTGTGTATATTAGTGTCTCTGTGTGTGTGTGTCAGTCTGTGTGAGTGTGTATATTAGTGTCTGTGTGTGTGTCAGCCTGTGTGAGTGTGGGTCTTAGTGTCTCCCCGTGTGTGTGTCAGTCTGTGTGAGTGTGTATATTAGTGTCTGTGTGTGTGTGTCAGTCTGTGTGAGTGTGTATATTAGTGTCTCCCCGTGTGTGTGTCTCCCCGTGTGTGTGTGTCAGTCTGTGTGAGTGGTATATTAGTGTCTCTGTGTGTGTGTCTTAGTGTCTCCCCCGTGTGTGTGTGTCAGTCTGTGTGAGTGTGTATATTAGTGTCTCCCCGTGTGTGTGTCTCCCCGTGTGTGTGTCAGTCTGTGAGTGGGTATATTAGTGTATCTGTGTGTGTGTTCAGTCTGTGTGTGTCAGTCTATGTGAGTGTGTATATTAGTGTCTCCCCGTGTGTGTGTGCCAGTCTGTTAGTGACTCCCTGTCTGTCTGGGTGCGAATGTGAGTGTGTGTCTCTGAGTGTGTCTGTGCATCTATGTGTCTGTGTGTGTCTGAGTGTGTCTGTGTTTCAGGAAAGGGCGGTCCTGCACAGATGCCATATTTTCTGTCCGTCTGCTACAGCAGAGGTGTAGGGAATTCCAGCAAGACCTACGTCTCTGCTTATTGGGCCCGGGTAAAACTACGTGGCCGGGAGTCAGAGCCATTCCCTGTACACCTTGGGGTGCGAGAGGGATGTCCTCTGGCTCCCACATTATTCAACATCTATTTTGACCACGTAGTTCGTGAAGCCTTCAATAGCTGTACCGGGGGAATCTCCATTTGGTACAGATATAATGGGAGGCTGATCGATGCCCGGGTGCGGTCAAGGGATGGCTCCCTATTGCTCAACCACGTTATGTATGCCGATGATTTGGTAATAGCTGCTCATTCAGAGGAGGAGTTGGAGACGCTGCTGCTGAGACTGGAGCGTGCCACTAAGAGATGGGGCCTTACCATCAGCCCCACCAAACTAAGCACCTGCCTGGGTATTTTGTACCATCGGACACTCCACCCCCACAACTCCCAATCGGTGATGGGGCAGTTGTGGAGAGTGCGGAGAGTTTCCCATACCTGGGCAGTGTGCTTATGACCGGCTCCAGTTTAACAGCAGAGGTCTCACTCCGAATCAGTCGAGCGGCAATATATTTTCATCGGTTGCGTACCGCTGTGTGGAAGCTACCTGGTCTGTCGCTCCGCACTAAGCTTCAGGTCTTCTCGGCCACGGTCATTCCTTCCTTTCTCTACGCTTGCGAAACGTGGACCCCCCTAATAGAACATCTTCGCCGCTTAGAAACATTTAGGCTAGCCTGCCTACGATCCATCCTGGGTTTAACCAGGCTGGATTGTGTGAGGAGCTCACAAATTCTTGAAAGATCTGGGCAAGTTCCCATCGGTGAGCTCCTCCGGCAGGCAAGGCTGCGTTGGCTGGGTCATGTAGCCCGCATGCCCAGCCACCGCATGCCCAAACAGCTTTTGTTCGGCCGGATCGAGGGGGCTAAACGTGCGCGGCACGGGCTAGAGAAGAGAGATGGAGTGATGTGGTACAGGAGGACGTGGAGCTGAGTGGACTTGCCGATGACTGGTACCAGCGGTGTCAAGATCGGCCTCTGTGGAGGAGGCTCGTGAAGGACGCTACTGGGCAGTTGGAGGCAGTCGCCCTCCAACAACAACGGAGGGTGGAGGAGCGACGCTCACAACAACGAGCGGAGCGCCGGGTGGCTAAAACACAGCAGGTTGGCACAGTAGGGGGCACAGGTGGTGCATCAGCCAGTCATCACAGTCATCTCAGTCAGTTGACCTGTGGCACCTGCTGGTTCTGCCCCGTGACCTCCTGTCAGCGGGCGTTCGACACTTCACGTGGCCTCAAGGTGCACATGGCCTGGCACAAGCGTCGTGGTGACGTCACCGCCACTTAGTGGCGAATGGCGGTTGTTGTTGTGTGTCTCTGTATGAATCTGGCGGCGTATGCTGCTGTTGTATGAGTGTGTGTGTCTCTGTGTGTGTTCCGGTGTCTATATGTATGTGTGTGCATGTCAGTCTGTGTATTCCTGCCGGTGTGTCTCTGTGACTGCGTGTGAATTTGTGGATGGGTGGCGGCGCAGTGGTTAGCTCACTGCACTGTGAACCCTTCCGCCAGAGTCGGCGTCCCGGCCACGGCTAACATCAATGGCGAGAGACAGATACATCGGTCTTGGCCTCACCTATGTTGACACAGCCTTGAGTGTCTGGTGAGACAAAGGTGTCCGGGCGTCGTCCACCACTGAAGAGCGCGCCGAGCCGGGTTTAAATACTGTGGGTGCACGCCAATAGCACTTGCCTCAACAGTCCATGTGGCCTGTACCAGGACCTTTGTCTTTGTGTGTATGTGAATGTGTGTGTGTTGTGTGTGTGTGTCTCTAGGTGTTCGCGGTTACTCACGCTCTACCTACAAGTACAGGTGAGTGAGAGCGCGCGTGCGTGAACGAGGAGGTGCGTGGGTCCATGTCTGTCCGTGTGTATGTCTGTGTGTGTCTGTATGCACGAGTAGGTGTGTGGGTCTCTGTATGTTTGTCTGTGTATGTGTGTATATATGTGGGTCTCTATATCTCTGTGTATGTATCTCTGTGTCTGTATGCACGTGTCTGTGTCTATGCCTGCATGCATGTCCATGTGTGTGCATGCATGTATTTCCACGTGTCTGTGTGTATGTTCATGTGTCTGTAGGCATGCGTCTACGATGTGTGTGTACTGTGAGTCGCTCCGCGTGTCTCGCGAGTGGGGATACAACTCGGGCCGAGGTCTCCTGAGCGACACGCGGCCCCCATGCCCCAGGGCTCTCGCCTGGTTGGGGTTCATGGTTAGGGCTCTCGCCTGGTTGGGTTCAGGGTTAGGGCACTCGCCTGGTTGGGGTTCATGGTTAGGGCTCTCGCCTGGTTGGGTTCAGGGTTAGGGCACTCGCCTGGTTGGGTTCAGGGTTAGGGCTCTCGCCTGGTTGGGGTTCAGGGTTAGGGCTCTCGCCTGGTTGGGGTTCAGGGTTAGGGCTCTCGCCTGGTTGGGTTCAGGGTTAGGGCTCTCGCCTGGTTGGGTTCAGGGTTAGGGCTCTCGCCTGGTTGGGGTTCAGGGTTAGGGCTCTCGCCTGGTTGGGGTTCAGGGTTAGGGCTCTCGCCTGGTTGGGGTTCAGGGTTAGGGCTCTCGCCTGGTTGGGGTTCAGGGTTAGGGCTCTCGCCTGGTTGGGGTTCAGGGTTAGGGCTCTCGCCTGGTTGGGGTTCAGGGTTAGGGCTCTCTGCGATGACGCTGATTGAGTCTGGCACCTCGACTGGCTTCCCTCTCCCGTCCCCTCGCCTCCTCCCCTCTCTCATCCCCTCGTCTCCCCTCCCATCTCATCTCACTCCCTCGTATCCCCTCGTCATCCCCTCCATCCCCTTGTCATCCCCTCCATCCCCTCGTCACCCCTTTCATCCCCTCGTCACCCCTTTCATCCCCTCGTCATCCCTTTCATCCCCTCGTCATCCCTTTCATCCCCTCGTGTCCCCTGTCATCCCCTCGTCATCCCTTTCATCCCCTCGTGTCCCCTTTCATCCCCTCGTCACCCCTTTCATCCCCTCGTCACCCCTTTCATCCCCTCGTCATCCCTTTCATCCCCTCGTGTCCCCTGTCATCCCTTTCATCCCCTCGTGTCCCCTTTCATCCCCTCGTGTCCCCTGTCATCCCCTCGTGTCCCCTGTCATCCCCTCTTGTCCCCTGTCATCCCCTCTTGTCCCCTGTCATCCCCTCGTCATCCCTTTCATCCCCTCGTCATCCCTTTCATCCCCTCGTGTCCCCTGTCATCCCCTCGTCCTCTCGCACCCTCGGTCCGACCTCTTCCCTAATTGGCGCAGTGCGTGTACCCACGTGGAGAGCGGTGGCGCAGTGGTTGGCGCTCAGCGCGCTACGAACCCAGCGACCCGAGTTCGAGAACCGGCCCTTCCTGGGTCTCCCCGAGGTCATGGGTATCCCCTAGGTCGACTCAGCCTGAAACGAGGTTTTAGTGCGGTGGGTAGAAAACTTCACCACGAGGGAGACAAAGGCAGCTGGGCGTGGAGTTGGCCACCCACCCCTTTCGTGTCCCATCCCGGCCTTCGCAGGTGCTCGCGAGCAGCAATTGTTCCAATCGCATGATAAAGGCGACACGGGGGATCTTTGTCTTTGCGTCTGTAAATGTGTGTATGTCGTTGTCTTTGTGCGTGTATCCACACGCCTGTCTCATTGGTCGTTTAATTCGCATTGACACGTTTGTAGACACACACACGTGTAGACACGTGCTCGAGTACAGTGGAGACACGTGCACGCGTGTACATTGCGCACACGTGCGCGTGTACAGTGCGCGGCGTGGCTACTCACGTGCGCGCGCCGCGCACTGTCCCTCGCAATTAACGCGGCGTGGGAGCTGACGTCATGAGCTCACGCCAATTAGCGGGGCTGGGCGCGCGGCGTTAATTACAGAGGCGCTTTGCGTGATCTGTGGTCTCCCTCACCTGGCCTGTCCCCCCCCCCCCGGGCCCCCACCACCAACACCTGTCCATCTCACAACATCTGTACAAACACCCCTTCCTTACCTGTCCTGTACATCTCCCACCTGTCTCCACCTCTTGTCCTACCTATGCATCTATCACCTGTGCGGGTCACCTCTTACCTGTCCACCCTAACCTGTCTATTCTCGTTTCCCCGACTAGCTGACATATCTCCCCACACCGTCCACCACTCCTGTCTGTCCACCACTCCTGTCCACCATACCCATACCTACCTCTTGGTCGAGTGACCGTGTTACCTGTAGCCCAGGTGAGAGCACAATGGACATCACGAGCCCTTTCCCAAGGGAGATGATGGATTTGAATAATTATCCAATTCATGATTGCTCTTTTGATGGATGATGGTGTGATTGTGACTGATAGACAGATGCCAATGCTGCTGCTGATGTGATTTCAGTAATAATCAATAATGGTCGATGTGAGCTGAATATTTTAATTCTGAATGATGGATAATGATGATGGTGATGCTGATGGCGATTATAGTGATACTGATAATGATGATAGTGATGATGGTGATGGTGGTGATGATAGTGATGCTGGTGATGGTGATGATGTTGATTATAGTGATGCTGATAGTGATGATGGTGATGATGGTGATGATAGTGATGCTGATAGTGATGGTGATGATGGTGATGATAGTGATGCTGATAGTGATGATGGTGATGCTGATGGTGATGATAGCGATGATAGTGATGATGGTGATGGTGAGTATAGTGATGCAGATAGTGATGATAGTGATGGTAATGATAGTGATGATAGTGATGGTAATGATAGTGATGATAGTGATGGTGATTATAGTGATGATAGTGATGGTGATTATAGTGATGCTGATAGTGATGATGGTGATTATAGTGATGATAGTGATATAGTGATGGTGATTATAGTTGTGATGATAGTGATGATAGTGATTATAGTGATGGTGATGATAGTGATATAGTGATGGTGATTATAGTGATATAGTGATGGTGATGATAGTGGTGGAGGTGATGATAGTGATGGTGATGATAGTGATGATGGTGTAGCAAATCGTGTGGCTCTGTCAGTGTGGATGTGCTCATCATGCTCCTCCTCATGGTGTCCGACTCGTGGTCCTACTGCGGATGGTGGTGATGATTCTCTCTCTCTGCTTCTTTTTTCGTCACTGCTCCACTTGGGAATTCCCCTCCAAGCCGCCTCCCTCCCTCCCTCGCATCACCGCCTCGTCCCCCCCCCAAGCTCTTTTCACAACAAATAACCTTGCTCAATGTCAGCACTCGGCTTACACGCTTACCTCATACGCATACACCGACATTCACAATGAGTGCTGCTTGTCGCTAGCCTCTTGACGCTTTCGGCTTTTCTGCCCGTCTGCACCCCCCCCCCCCCCCAGCTAATCCACCATACATCCATGCCCCCCGCGACCTACCATAGGGTTCAGAGTAGGAAATCTGCGAAAAAGAGTTCCATATCTCATCGGATTCCTCCAGGACAAGTCGAGATTCTGATTCCCATTGCGGACGACTGACGCGTGCCCACCGCGACCCCCCACGACTGTCGCCCCGCCCCCCAGTTGGTGGCGCCCACGCCGTCGCCGGACTTCGGGCGCCACGTGCAGAAGGAGGCGCAGCACACGGACGAGGCGTCGCGGCGTCACGTGCGCACCTACCAGCTGTACTCGCGCACCAGCGGCAAGCACGTGCAGGTGCTGGGCCGGCACATCGCGGCCCGCGGAGACGACGGCGACCCGCACGGTGAGACGGGGGCCAGGGGGGGCCAGGGGGGCCAGGGGGGGGGGGCGAGGGGGCCAGGCGCTGGGCGTCAAGACGTCGCGGCACGCAGCGAGCGTGGAGGCACCGCATGGGGGATTAATACCGGGGGGGGCATTAATACCGGGGGGGGGGCATTACCACCGGGGGGGGCATTACCACCGGGGGAGGCATTACCACCGGGGGGGGGGGGGGGCGTCACTCTCGCTGCTGCGGTCCCAGTTGCTGCCCGTGGCCCCCGTACTCGAGGCGGGCGGGGGGGGGGCCGTCGGGGCTCCGCCAGTTCCCACGCCCAGGTGCAGCCGCCCTCCCCCTCCCTCCTTTTCCTTCTTCCCCTCTCCCCCCTCCCCTCTCCATTCCTTCCCTGCGTCTCTCTCCCTCTCGCCTCCCTCCCCCTTTCCATTATCCCCCCCCCCGCTCCGCCTTCTCCCTCTCCCCCCTCTCCATTCCTTCCCCCCGCCCGCCCGCCGTCCCCACTCCCCCCCACCTGCCCCCTCCCCTCCCTCCCTCCCCTCCCCCACCTGCCCTCACCATCTCGCCCTGCCGTGGACTGGAGCTGGTTCAGACGATGTCTGCTCCAAGTCGAAGCGTAGTGCGGCGGATTCGCGCGCCCAAGAGACTCGTGCAGTATCGCCCACCACCATCATCATGACCACCATCAGCCATGATCAATCCACTGCTGGGTGATGGCCATCACCCACGATCCTGCGACGTAACAATTCGTCCAGAAGCTGCGCACCAGCCGATCCCGTCGCTCCATCTCTCCCGTGGGCGGACCCCTCCCTGAACGCGTCCCATTCCTTGGCTCCCTGTCCGTCATTGCTCTTGACCGTAGGCCATCGTCCTTGACGCGTCCCGCCCATGCCCCGCGCACGTGGCGGCTGGAGCGACGTCTTTCACCTGCCCCTGTGATGTAGTTGAGTCCCAACCGGTCATACCACCTCCTCCTCGTGTGCCGTTCTGAACATCGTCGTGGGTTCTCGTGAACAGCAATTAACCCAACAGTCTATTGAGGGGGGGGGGGGAGGTCATTGTCGTTGTATCGCACAGCGAAGATGACTCCAAACACACCCAGCCTGGCACGTGACCGCCACTTGTTGGCGAATGGCTGCTGCTGCTTGTTTCCATTGTTGAATTCCTCTCTCGTCGTTTCTGTGGCGTCTCAACCGCAGCCATGCTCCAGGCGGAGACGGATTCGTTTGGTGGGAACATTCGGCTCCGTGGGGTTGAGACGGGCCACTACATCTGCATGAACAAGCGCGGCAAGCTGGTGGGCAAGGTGAGCGGAGGCCGCGCGTGCGATGGGCACGCATCGCCACGGCCGCGTTGCCGGCACGACACGTGCCTCCCCATGCGTACTGTGTCAGCAGCGGTGCACGAGACTCGGCACTCACCCACTCGCTCACTCACTCAACCACTCACCCACTCGCTCACCCACTCAACCACTCACCCACCCGCTCACCCACTCAACCACTCACCCACCCACTCGCTCGCCCACTCAACCACTCACCCACCCACTCAACCACTCATCCACCCACTCGCTCACCCACTCAACCACTCACCCACCCACTCGCTCATCCACTCAACCACTCACCCACCCACTCGCTCGCCCACTCAACCACTCACCCACCCACTCGCTCACCCACTCAACCACTCACCCACCCACTCGCTCGCCCACTCAACCACTCGCCCACCCACTTGCTCACCCACTCAACCACTCACCCACCCACTCGCTCACCCACCCACTCGCTCACCCACTCAACCACTCACCCACCCACTCGCTCGCCCACTCAACCACTCACCCACCCACTCGCTCGCCCACTCACCCACCCACTCGCTCACCCACTCAACCACCCACCCACTCACTCACCCACTCAACCACTCACCTATCCACTCGCTCACCCACTCAACCACTCACCCACCCACTCGCTCACCCACTCAACCACTCACCCACCCACTCGCTCACCCACTCAACCACTCACCCACCCACTCGCTCACCCACTCAACCACTCACCCACCCACTCGCTCACCCACTCAACCACTCACCCACCCACTCGCTCGCTCACCACTGCAAGTCTCCTCACTTCTCTTTCTGATTCTTTCCTCGTACGGCTCCACTCTGGAATTCCCTCCTCCTCCCACCACCATCATCACCATCGCCTGTTTTGCCCGAGCTCGAATAACAAATCACTTCGCGCGATTCCTAGCGAACTCCCTTGACTCTGTTTTTTCTATTACAACATTGGCCGTACCGTTTGTTGCTGGCTGTCTGACGTGGGACTCTGGGCCCTGTACCCAGCTACTGTATTCAAACAAGACAGAACCTCAACGTGTTCGTCAATAATAGGAGGCATTTATAATAGGCGACGTTTCGGGCAATGAACCGTCGTCATGGCAGGCAGAGACGCCAGAGAGATTAAGTGAATGATATTTTGAGGCTGCGCGGTCACACCCAACACATACGATATTCTCAGATGAATAAGCCTAATTGGCCTACGAACTTACCCGTTAGTAGATACATTCACAAACAACCTCTTCAAACATCTAAATGTAATACACATGCAGCTCATTCGTTTTAAGAGTAAAGTTATCAAGAGTTGCCGGCACATTGCATCCTGGGTACCCATGAGGCAGCGTGCCATCTCATTGAAGAGAGACGCCGTTATCTGCTCGGTGACGCCTTCCCCCGGGCCTCGCTCATTGGACGTGACCAGAGGTCTACAAGCGCGGATGGGGGGGAGGCAGGAGAAACGCTTTGTGGGGGCACCACCACATCAGTGGTCTACCGCCAAGGAGGAGCGTGAACTTGGGTTGGGCCACAGGGGACATTTGGTGGTGCAGGGCCCACCCCGGCCCCTTCCCCCTAGCGCTGAGCCCTGCTTGTAAGACACGTTCAGAAAAGCCCCCTTCCTTCCCATTGAAGCGAGGTGGCGGGAACTTTGAGCGTCTGTGTGCATCTCGTTCGAGCCGTTGCTGCCCGGCTCTACTGACAAATGAAACTCACTCAGTGGGCGTGCGGGCGTGATTGCTCCAGTGAGAGGCGCGCACCGCGTATGTGCCTCCTAATAAAGGAGGCTGTCTACGATTAATAAAATATTGTTTTGGGCTCAGCCAAGTAATTATTGGACCAGGTTTGTGTCGTCAAATCACTCCACCACCCAGATGTTTTTTTTTTATTCTGACTTCCTGGATCCTGTCGTGACAATGCTTGATGTAGTTTCCAAGCGAAACGTCATCTCTAACTGCTAAATCTGGTCGTGAGGATTGTTGTTTCTTCCGCTCAACTGTGGCGAGCGGGAGAGTTTAAACTTCACTATCGGCGCACATCCTTACACGCTTATACAACACGCGGCAATTTTATTTAATTTGGCTGTTTCAGATGGTGAAGGGTTAAATTACACTGTGATCTCACTAGAAAATAAATTTCGAATCACGATATTGGCTGCGGAGCCCTACTATAAGTTGTGACTTGCAGTGGGAAGTTTGTGTTTTGAGTGGAGGGCACGCAGTCGACAGCACAGATGGCTGCGTGAAGAGAGTTCAAGTTGATTTTGCTGAACCAGGTGGGAACTCGAGAAGACCACGATAAGGAATCTCATTTGCACGAGTGACTCGAGTCACTGCGATGACAAAAGCAATGAATGTGTCGTGGTGATTGTACAAGGATCGTCACCACCGTGAACCTCCGAACAGGTCGACGTCCTTGTCGTCCTCGTGACAGCCGCGATCGTACTTTAATTTTACCCAAATTTCTGTCATAAGTCCCTCCCACCCGCCATAGCCAAGTAAGCTGTTGTGTAGTGTCCACGTGTTTAACAATGCGCCGACTGATAGTTTTAGCTGACTCACCGAGCGAGTTTAAGAACAATGCTCACAACCAAATACAGCAGCAGATAGATATGACGAGGGTAGTGTTATCATGCTCGTACGATGCTTCTCATGACTCTGCTGCTGCTAATGATGGTGGCAACATTGCCACTGAGAGCATCACCTCGAGTTGCCCCACACATATGGAGGTGACACTGGGGGCCTTGAGACCCAGATGCCATGAAACCTTGAGGCTAATGGGACCTCAGGGGTCGTGAAGTAAAGTGGGCCCCGAGGCTTTTGGGCCTAAACGTTGTCTAATGGAGGATTCCTTTGATGTTAAGTTATGAAATCCAGTCAAGAGCTTGGACAGCGTTGGCAACATTCACATGGTCCTGCTCTCACGATTCTCAGAGATGACTTTGTGCGTGAACAAATGGCACCGCTTTAGAGATCGAGTCGAGCTGCTCTTTTGAATTGCGACCCTTTTGGGGGCATCTATCCACGAGACTATGGGGGCAGGGAAGTGTACTGGAGGTCACCTCTCCCGGCTAACCCGTTGACGTGTGTTCCCCCCTCGCAACCCCCTCCACCCCGCTTCCCGGCAGCTCAACGGGCGCAACCGAGACTGCGTCTTCATCGAGATCTACCTGGAGAACAACTACACGGCGCTGCAGAGCGCCAAGCACCGCGAGTGGTACATGGCCTTCAACCGGCACGGGCGTGCCAAGAACGGCACGCGCACGATGCGCGGCCAGCAGGAGGTGCACTTCATCAAGCGGCTGACGCGGGGCCGGTCGCTGGAGCCCGTCACGCCCATCTTCTGGGTGGTGCGACCGGGCAGCGGGCCCGGCGGTGGCGGCGGCGGTAACGGCGGCCCGGGGCGAGGCGGTCGCAGGAGTAGGCGCACCCGGCAGTCGAGGCACGGGGCCCAGCGGCGGGGATGAGGCCTCCACCGCCGCCACACGGCCGCGGGGCCATGGGGCCACGGGGACGCGAGGCCCGGACGACGTGAAAACCTTGTGCCAACGGGTACCTTGGGCGTCGGGAACGGGGGTCACGAGGTTTTGGGGGCCCTTGGGACCAGGAGATTCTGAGACCTTCATGGCTATGATTCACTGAGGCCATGTGACCTTAATTTCATGGTGCCTGAGGCCATCGAATCATGGAAGGATGGATCTCCAGGGCTGTGGGGCTACAAGGCCATAGGAGCATAGGGACCTGGGCCACAGCTCTGCGGACTCAAGATCCTCATGGAACCCCAGGAGACCAGAATTGGGCCTGCCTGGCCACCCACCTGAAGCCTCGCGTGGCTCGGCTGGACGGGTAGCGGGGGGCCTCTTCCCGCCACTGCTTGTGGGCCCTGCGGGCCGGGGTGAGGGACGCGTCATGACTAAGGGACTGAAGCCACTGTGGACGAGACCGAGGCCTCCGGGCCTTGGCCGTCGAGAAACCACTTTAAAACGGACTCCACCTTGGTGAGCTCGCGTGCCGTGCGCGCCTCGTTAATGTTATTATTGTCGTTGTCGTTATTATAATAATGTCGTTATATATTTTTTGCGTTACAAAGCATCGATCAACAAACTTGAACGCGCACACGAGGCGAGCCCGCCCCCCCCCCCCCTTCTGCGGGAGGGGCGAGACGAGGGTGGCCTTGCTGCCTGTGGTTGTGAGGGTGAGTGCGGGTGAGAGTGCGGGTGAGAGTGCGTGTTGGGGGTGCGAGAGGATGTGGTTGGTGTGTAAGAGTGAGCGTTGGGTGTGCGGAAGGTTAGGGGGTGTGAGTGAGGGTCTGGTGTATGCTCGTGATTGTGAGGTTGTAGTGGGGTGTGCGAGTGTGTGAAGATGTGTCAGGAGGCTGAGGATGTTTGAGGCTGTGGGAATGTGTGAAGGTGTCTGTGTGTGGTGGTCTGGCATGTGGTTATGATGGGGTCACCACATCTACACCTCTATATAAGGAACGCAACAGGTGGACTTCTCCACAAATCTGGCTGTTGCCTGATGAAGCTAGTTGTAATTACTGGCGAAACGTCGTACTCAGATTGTAAATGTTGTGGCTTGGCTCTCCAACACACCGGTGTTGCTGTACTAGTGACGAATTGGCACGTTCTGTTTACGTGACAACCCTTACTAGTTGGCTGTCAGGTGGTGGCAGGTTTACCGACACATTTATATATTTACGCGATCTAACCCAAAAAAACCTCTTATGGATGATGGGGATGTTGGTGTGTGTGGGTATGTTAAGATGCATGTGTGTGTAAATGTATCTGGATTATGTTTTCAATGTTTCAAGAGCTTTGTAGTTGCATCATTAACACGTCTGGATGTACCCAGGGTTATTTGTAAACGTGCATGCATTCACATGTACTGTATCTGGTTGTACCAGGGGGATGAGTATGTATCTGGGTATGTCTGGACATATCCAGATGAATCTGAGCGCATATGTATCAGTAAGTAACAGGGCAAATTGCACAGTTTAATAACACATCCTGGTGTAGTAACTACGTACATCGCTGTGAGATGGGGATGTCTCATACTTGCCGAGCCAACACATTTAACCAGCAGGCTGCAGATATTCAATACCTGTCTTCCTCATACCGATTTTCAAAGTGAATCAATACGAATTCTTGTTTCTTAAGAGTGCTCGTTGTGACGCAAATTGTGTGCTTTGAAAATCGGTATGCGGTAAAATTGTTAAAAAACAGGTTACCCATCCGCCTACCCACCCACCTGCCTGGTAGGGTTGGCAAGGTCACTTGGGTCTATGAGTTTAGGGGGTACTTTTGTCGTTAGCTGGGTACAAATAAGTACCCAATCACATCTGGACGAGTACCGAAGTACAGTACATCTGGATGTATGTTGAACCAACCGTGGTAATCGGAGGTGCGTGGATAAGCTGAGTGTGTATGTGGACGAGGACCCAGGTACATTTGGATCAGTAGCAGGCTTCACCTGGGTTTGTGAGGGAGTAGATCCAGACGAGTTGGGTTTGTGGGTACATCTGGACGAGTTGGGTTTGTGGGTACATCTGGACGAGTTGGGTTTGTGGGTACATCTGGATGTGTTGGGTTTGTGGGTACATCTGGACGAGTTGGGTTTGTGGGTACTCCTGGACGAGTTGCGTTTGTGGGTACATCTGGACGAGTTGGGTTTGTGGGTAGATCTGGACGAGTTGGGTTTGTGGGTAGATCTTGACGTGTTGGGTTTGTGGGTACTCCTGGACGAGTTGGGTTTGTGGGTACCTCTGGACGTGTTGGGTTTGTGGGTGAGTAGATCCGGACGAGTACCTGGGTACACCCGAAGGAGTAAGTATCCAGTTATCTCTGGACGAGTGTGTAGGTAACATGTGTATGACTATCGAGGTGGGGTGGAGAGGGAGACTTCTGGTGGTACCTGGCCACACCTGGACGTGCCAGGCCGGGAGGTCCGGCCTCTCTGCACCGTGCTCTGACCCCGTGGATGCGCGGATCGACTCTTTCTGCTGCTGTATTTTATATCGCGTTTTTTTTTACCGAACGACGGGTTTGCCTTGCCCTCACCAAATATTTATTGTATATAATTATTATTATTGCATATTATTAAACCTCTTTACTAAATTGCCGACTCTGTGTGATCAGTTGGTGGTCTCGGTGGTGGCATGGGGGACATCCCTGCCGTGTCTCTCTCTCGTGTTCATCAGCATCATACTCATTTGCAGCGTCCGGGAGAATTAGCAGCATCAGACATGGTGCTGAGAGACCTCATGGCTACAATCTGGGGTGACCAGACCCTTAAACCCATGGCCTCCTCCCTTCAGCTGTCGGTGTTGTCTGGGTCATGGTCGTGGTTCACGGCGTGTTCCCTGTGCCCGGGAGGCTGTTTATTCGTGTGGAGGTGCCCCAGTTCACGGGCATTGCCTCTACTTTCGTTCCCCATGGGCTGGGACATTTGCCGACGGGCCCTCAAGAGAAGTCGAAACCATTCCAGAGCTTGCCCCAATAAGATGCCACCCAAAAAGTCAATCAGGTCTGTAAATAATCTAGTGGGTCGTCGTTTTGGGCCCCTCGGTGATCGACCTAACCGTGACTTTATTGTTATTTATCTCATCAAGGTTAAAACTCCGTGTTTTGCCTCTCGAGTCTTTAAACAGACGCTCGCGTGTCATGCAGGGCCACGCCTGGCTCGTAGCCGCACTTTGTTTGGCATTGTTGAAAAAGCAAACATCAACAAATGAACAACAACAGCAACAAACATCACGCCAACATCATTAGCTCTTGGGATTTTTTTTAAATTATCAAACTGTGGAAAGAAAAAACATGTTTCCCCTCACAAGTGAGTCGGGTGGTAGAGGGTTGACGAAACTAATTTTGGCATAAACACCACCACCACCACGTGGGCCCTCGCCTAATGCCACGGATCTTTGTGTTCGCTACGCAAAGCCAAAGTTACCACTTTGTATTTACGAGTGGAAGTCCCTGTCACTGAACGACCCCCCCACTACACCCCCCCCCCACTACACTCCCCCCCCACTACCCCCCCCCCCCACTACACCCCCCCCCCACTACACCCCCCCCCCCACTACACCCCCCCCCTCCCACTACACCCCCCCCCTCACTACACCCCCCCCCCCAACTACACCCCCCCCCAACTACACCCCCCGCCCCGCTTCTTCCACCCGCACGCGAGCCGGAGCGAGGGGGCGGGACTTTATAGAAAGGGGCGGAGCTGTGTAGAATGGGCGGGGTCATGCTTGGGGGTCCTGGCGATGGGGCGGGCCACGGCGGGGCTGCCCTCGCCGATGCCTGCTCGCATGCGCGGCCCGGCGGCTAACGCGATGACGCGGGACGGCGCGATTCCAGGCGAGGCCGACGCCGCGGGGGGCCGCGAGGGCCCCATGTCGCTGCTGGAGCTGCCCGAGGACATCGTGTTCCTCCTACTCTCCTACCTGGACGCGCGCTCGCTCGGCCGCGTAGCGCAGACATGCGGGAAGTTGAGGCGCCTGTGCGGCCGCGACTGCGTGTGGAGGCGCGTGGCGCGCATGGCCATCAACACGGGCATCACGGACGACGGCACGGACCGGTGAGGAACCACGCGACCCCCCGCGCCCCTCTCCCTGCATCCCCCCAGAGTTCCTCTCGCCGCCCAACCCCCGGTTCTGCCCGGGGATTCGCGCCATTGGTCCAGCGCGATCACGTGCGGCGTTAGGGGCCGGGGTCGGTGTCGTCACGTGGTGCCGTGGGCGGGCTCTCGATGAGACGTCGGAGTGGGTCACGTGGTGCGAAAGTCCACCGCGTGCTCGGTGTCGTCGACGCCGCTGCTGAATGTTCACGGCGTTTCCCATGTGCGGTGTCACGCAGCAGTGGCTCGTGTTTACACCCCGCAAAGCCTCACTGAGTCTCAAGGCGCTTGTTTGCAGGAGGGCGCTGCTGCTACATTTGGATGCTTAGCCAGTTGCATGAATGAGACTGTGGCTTTAGAATGAGAGTGTGGAAATTGGAGGATCCGGAGAAAACCCAGCACCGCGCTCTCTACGAGGGGTTAAAACTCAAAGCGCCTCACACAGGGAATCATTCAATCTTATATGTACTGCCATCTCATGCCCACCACACAACCTATGGCCAAAACACCAGACAGTCTCCCATCTAAGTGCGGATGGGAGTTAAGAAGGTTGAATTTGTGCGCGTGGAAGCCGCAGTATCCAGAAATCCTCCTTCCCAGATTCTTGATACATAGAGCTGTTGTAGCTGTTGTAGCACTGAGAGTTTCACACAGACGGGTTCACAAATCCATCTGTCTTCCTGGCCACCACCTCGCAGCGGAGAAAACGATTCACAAGTTTCACAGATCTCCAGGTGAACCACTAACCCCTGCATCAAGCTTGTACACCCCCCCCCGCCACCTATAGTTTAAAGTGGGAGGACATATACAGAAACTCAGGGTAGAGGCACTGCGCAATCATTGCTAAACACATTGAACGAATGCCAAACACTAAATAAAATAGGTCCAGAGGTTGCTAAAACACGTGATCAAGCCACATCTAACCATTGCAAATAGTTTGTGCATCACGTGACTTGAGAATTTAGAATGGGGGGAGGGGATCTGAGCCTCGAAACTCCCTCTGACACTACGGTGGGGGTGGGGGGGGGCTGATCACACGTGCCATCCGAGGAGCCACCACACCTGGGCCACATGGCTGTGTGTTTGAGGAACAAATCACTGTGGGGGTATTGCGATGAGGATGACGTTTGGGAGATTCGTGATAGATGGTGATTATTGGGGGGGGGGGGGGGGGGGGGGGGGTTGGGGGTGATGGTGGGGACACAGTGATGATGAGTGTTGGGGGGGGGTGATGCACCACGCGTTCCTCCCCCCGACTCCCCCCCCCCCCCGACTCGTGGCTCTCCGCCCCGTTGTTGCCGTGTGTTGGCCGTGTTTGTGTGTTTCTATGTAATTAAGTGAAATGAAATCTGCGCGGGGAGGCAATTACATCCTTCGCGCCGCAACGCCACGCGGCCTCTCAGCTGCGAGCCGTCGCTGCAGCCGCCGCGGGGTCTCGCGCTGACCGTGATGGAGGGTGGTGGAGTTAGTGTGGCGTGGTGATGGTGGGGGATGTGGTGATGGTGGGGGGATGTGGTGATGGTGGGGGATGTGATGATGGTGGGGGGATGTGGTGATGGTGGGGGGATGTGGTGATGGTGGGGGGATGTGGTGATGGTGGGGGGATGTGATGATGGTGGGGGGATGTGGTGATGGTGGGGGGATGTGGTGATGGTGGGGGGATGTGGTGATGGTGGGGGGGATGTGGTGATGGTGGGGGGGATGTGGTGATGGTGGGGGGATGTGGTGATGGTGGGGGGGATGTGGTGATGGTGGGGGGGGAGGGGAGTGGTGATGGTGGGGGGGATGTGGTGATGGTGGGGGGGGATGTGGTGATGGTGGGGGGGGGGGGTGGTGATGGTGGGGGGGGGGGTGGTGGTGGTGGGGGGGGGGGTGGTGATGGTGGGGGGGGGGGTGGTGATGGTGGGGG